GCCACAGCCAGTCCCAGCCACTCAGAGACAGTCACTGACAGTCACAGACAGTCACCGACACTCACAGACAGTCACCGACACTCACAGACAGTCACAGACACTCACAGACAGTCACCGACAGTCACAGACAGTCACTGACAGTCACCGACAGTCACCGACAGTCACAGACAGTCACTGACAGTCACCGACAGTCACCGACAGTCACAGACAGTCACAGACAGTCACATCTTTACAGGTAGGTCTGTGGAGGTTCTCAGTCGTCCTGCTGGACGCAGTAGGACCTGAAGGAGTCCTCACCCCCCCTCACCCCGTGTCTCTTACCAATGGGGGACCCATCCTTGAGCCAGGTGATGCTGGGGACGGGGACACCCGTGGCCTCACAGAGCAGACTGAGGTGGGAGCCCAGTGTGGAGTTCAGGGACTCCTGCAGCGGTCCACTGAGGACAGGAGGAACTGTGGACACAGGTTAGAAGACAAAGGGTCACCGCTGGCCGTGAACGGTTCTGCGTCAGTGTCGGTGTCCAGAGTCTCAGCCGTCTCACCGTGGACCGTCACTCTGAAGGTCCTGTCCACCTGTCCGGCCACGTTGGACACTCTACAGGGGTAGGGGCCGCCATCTGTCACCTGGAAAGGTCCTGTCCACCTGTCCGGCCACGTTGGACACTCTACAGGTGTAGGTGCCGCCATCTGTCACCTGGAGACAGAATTACACCACAGACGTTTATTTTGACAGGTTCCCTTCAGCAGCTGGTCTGGTCTGGTCTGGAGGACTGAGGACAGACGTCTTCACGTCTTCACATCATCATCAAAAACATTCTTCTTGTTGTCCTGCTGCTGGTCCACGACCCACTGGTTGGGGTTGATGCTCACACACATCATTTCATTGGGAGTTACAGCATTTTTAGAACCGATGTTTGAGGAACAGCTGGTGACACAGAACAGGTTCAGACTGGCCCGGCCTGAAGGGACTGTTGACAACAGTCGGTACTGCGTGATAACAGTACCTACTGTTACACAGTACTGTGCAACAACAGTCGGTACTGTGTGACAACAGTCGGTACCATGTGACAACAGTCGGTACCATGTGACAAGTCGGTACTGCTTTAATGTCATTAACGTCTTTTATGTCTTTGATGTCTTTGAAGCCTTTGATGTCTTTGATGTTTTTGATGTCTTAAATGAGCCCTGAAGGGACTTACAGTCGGTACCGTGTGACAACAGTAGGTACCATGTGACAACAATCGGTACCATGTGACAACAATCGGTACCGTGTGACAACAGTCGGTACTGCTTTAATGTCTTTAACGTCTTTAATGTCTTTGATGTCTTAAATGTCTTTGTATTTGATGTCTTTGATGTCTTGTCATCATAAGACATCGATGTCTTAAGACTTTGTCTTAAGACATTGATGTCTTAAGACAAAGGCTTAAATGTCTTTGTCTTTGATGTCTTTAATGTCTTTAATGTCTTTAACGTCTTTAATGTCTCTGATGTCTTAAGCGTTTTGAACTCAACCTGGCTTCATCTACCCTTTCCCAATTCCTAATTAATGTCAGAACTTTATTTTGGTTTTAGATCAAAGCTCATTAATCCACAAAAACACAAGTGAACACATTGATCCATTTCCCTCTTTAGCGCCACCTACAGATTTGTTCTTGTGAGTCGTGACGGTCATGAAGTGTGATTCTCTGCTTCGCCCCACGGTGGCGCTCTGTCAGTGCTGATAAAACCTGGGTTTGACTTTTGTTCTGACCTGGACTCCGTCGACCTCCATCTGCTGACCGCTCATCCTCAGACCACTTCCTGCCGACAGCTGTTGGCCGTTCCTGTACCATGTGACCTCAGGCTCGGGGACGCCACGGGCTTCACACCGAAGGACCAGGGAGGAGCCCACCTGTGGGGTGAGCAGCTCTGACTGTGGCTGGGGGGGGGGGTTGG